TCTGGGGCTCTCAAACCACCGGGCTCCCGGCCTTCAGTTCGCCGGGCCGCCGCAGCCCATGCTGCGGTACTTTCAAGACAGACTGTACATAGGTGAAACGAAGCGCCCCCTGCGACTGCGCTTCAACGAGCATGTACGTGACCTCAAAAATAGAACTACAGATACTCCCATGGGAGAGCATTTCCAGGTCTCCCACTCTAATGTTTCAGTAGATGGCAAAGTACCTCTCACTGTGAAAGTCATGTACAGGTCTAAGGACCACCCGGATCGAAAAATAGCCGAGTCTTTGATGATCAGGAACCACCGCCCACATCTAAACAGTAACGACTCGTCATGGCCTATCCTGTGAAATTATATGTATGTACATTGTACATGTGTGTATATGTGTTGTGCGAACTGCTTTGAGATATGTGTTAGTGATTTGGATTGTTGATTGATGTGCCTGTTTTCATTTGATTTGTATAGACTCACCTTCCACACGCGGTCTTCACAGATGTTAGGATAACTTCGTCTTAACCCTCGCCGGACCTATTGGTTTTCTACATACTCGCCGGCCGAGGGGGGGGGGGCGGGTACGACCCCCCCTCGCCGTTTCGCCCCTGGTGGAGCTAGCGCGTCGCGGAAAAAACGAGCGTGTGCGCCGTTTCAAGACGCAGAAATTGATACCCGATTTTAAGGTCCTAGGTCAACCGGTGACCTCTGAGGTCAGGTCAAGTGCCCCAAGGTACGGTTCGGTTTTTGGTGAATAACTTCGCAAAAAAACAGCCGCAGAGCCGCGATTTTGGCAGCATCGTGTTTGTCTTGCTCAGGCGCGTCGAATGTTTGTTTGGGTGAGGTCAACTTAGGGTGTTGACCTCGGGTCACGGTCAGGTCAGCGCCCCCAGGTCACGAAGTTGGTCGAAGGAGGTCATATTGCATATCATTCGATTCGGCAGGTCTTCCTGAGTCCATTGGTGGCTCTCCCGACTCGCTAGCTCAATTTGATTGGGAGTTATTGACGAAAAACTAATATGACCCTAATGACGTCATAAATGACGTCACGCAAGGTCACCAATGCAAAAGTGACGCATGGAACCTTGCAAGGAGTGCATGAAATCACGATTCTGTGTGGTTGAGATAGTTGGAGATCGTTCCCGGCGCCAGAATAGCAGTTTTCGTTTTTCCCCATTGACTTATAATGGTGAGGTCTCAAAAATGACCTGACCTCATATGACCTTTAGAAAAAAAATCCGAGATATACAAGTTGTGAGACTCCTAATGGATACTAGGTCCTGCAAGTTTCATTTCCCTGTGACAGCTCCTCTGGCAGTGAGGGCGTTGCGAATTTGCGACATCTGAAGACCGTGCAGAGGTTCACTTATGACGTCATAGGCCAGTGACCTGACCTGACCCGAAAATGCGGTTGGTGTCAAAAGATCCGGCTTGAATCAAGGGTCAGGTATGCCAAGTTTAAGCTCTCTATCTCCGGCGCGTTCGGAGCTATCGCGAAAAAACCCTATGGGGGGGGGGCGGCACCCGCCCACCTCGGCCGGCGAGGGTTAAACTGCCCTTACTCTCTTTCGGTCTAAAGCCTTTGTCATGATTTTCTAGCTTTATGAAGGTATCTAAACCTGATTATAGGTATTGTTATTGGCCGGTAGGTGTATCTAAACCTGTGTACTTAAAAACCTAAGATAGAGTTTTCACCTTTCAACGAAATTAGGTATAATACTTTGTTACAGTGGTACGATATCGATTTTGTCACGAACTAATGTACGTAATTTTGTAGAGGCAGTTGGAACGCGATGCGGCGAAACGAAACTATTGTTTATCTTGATTATATATGTTCGAGACAAAGGCCAGTGGCCGAAATATCACATATTTTCTATCAATAAAGTACATTTTTCGGCACTTTTTTATTCAATATCGTGGAAAGGTCATGCTTATTACGGAGCGAGCGAAGCGAGCGTAGTCTTTCCTTAGATTAACGGAAATTTCTGAGTATGAGCGGCCGGCCGGCCGGCCGGCCGTGGTCACGCTTTTGCGAGGCTTATATCTCAGCAACCACTTGACCGATTTACACGCGGTAATTTTTGTAGGGTAGCTTCATTCCTTCTACCAAGTATTGGACTATTCCCGATGCATGTGGGTGACCCCTTATGCACGTGCCACGCAGTGGCGCAGCCAGTGAAAGGGGTGAGATCTCACCCCCGTCTCTTATCCTAGGGGCCCACCGTCGATTCGAACTGTAACGTTATGCAGCCTGACAATTTTTTATCATAACGTCAAGGTCCGTCATAGAACTGAAAAACAGTTTGCAGGCCTGTATAGCCCCCCCCCCCCCCTTAGCATTTATAGTCTCATTTTATGATTTAAGAGGGTACATCCAAGACCCGATTGATCTAATCCAAGGCCTAGGAGGGCCCGTTCCATGGCATGAGAGGGCCATTTCAGGCCTGAGAGGGCCCGTTTCAGGTCTGCGAGGGCCCATTTCAGGCCTGAAAGGGCCCATTTGAAGCTTGAGAGGGCCCATTTCAGGCCCTAGAGGGCCTGTTTGAGGCCTGAGAGGGGCCCATTTCAGGCTTGAGAGTGCCCATTTGATGCCTGTGAGGGCCCATTTCAGGCCTGAATGGGTCCATTTCAGGCCCTAGAGGGCATGTTTGAGGCCTGATAGGGCCCATTTCAGGCCTGAGAGGGGCCCATTTCAGGCCTGAGAGGGGCCCATTTCAGGCATGAGAGGGGCCCATTTCAAGCTTGAGAGGGCCCATTTCATGCCCTAGAGGGCATGTTTGGGGTTAGAGAGGGCCCGTTTGAGGCCAGAGAGGGCCCGTTTGAGGGCTGAAAGGGGCCCTTTTCAGGCACCATTTCAGACCTGAGAGGGCCCAGTTACGGTATGAGGGGGCCCTTTTTCGACATTTCCGGGCTGAGGGGGCCCATTTCAGGTCTGAGAGGGTCCATTTTTCAGGTCTGAGAGGGCTAATGTCAGGCCTGAGAGGGCCAATTTCAGGCCCTAGAGGACGTATTTGAGGCCTGAGAGGGGCCCATTTCAGGTCTGAGAGGGCTAATGTCAGGCCTGAGAGGGCCCATTTCAGGCCTGAGAGGGCCCATTTCAGGCCCTAGAGGACCTATTTGAGGCCTGAGAGGGGCCATTTCAGGCCTGAGAGGGCCCATTTGATGCTGTGAGGGCCCATTTTAGGCATGAAGGGGTCCGTTTCAGGCCCTTGAGGGCATGTTTGAGGCCTGATAGGGCCCATTTCAGGCCTGAGAGGGGCCATTTTAGGCCTGAGGGGGCCCATTTCAAGCTTGAGAGGGCCCATTTCATGCCCTAGAGGGCCTGTTTGAGGCTAGAGAGGGCCCGTTTGAGGCCAGAGAGGGCCCGTTTGAGAGCTGAGAGGGGCCCATTTCAGGCATAAGAGGCACCATTTCAGACCTGAGAGGGCCCAGTTACGGTATGAGGGGGCCCTTTTCGACATGATAGGGACCAATTCCGGGCTGAGGGGGCCCATTTTAGGTCTGAGAGGGTCAATTTCAGGTCTGAGAGGGCTAATGTCAGGCCTGAGAGGGCCCATTTCAGGCCCTAGAGGGCCTATTTGAGGCCTGAGAGAGTCTACTTCCGGCCTGAGAAGGGCCCATTTCAGGTCTGAGAGGGCCCAGTTCAGGCCTGAGAAGACATCCCAGGAATGAAAGGATCATCCTATGTGTGGGAGGGTCCGTACTCCGTGCCTGGTCTGGGTCTGAGAGGGGCTACCGCAATCCTGATTGAGCTGATATCATGTTTGATATAGGTCAACTCACCACATGTATATTGATGGCCCAGTTCATGTCTAATGGGCCCATCTCAAGACTCAGAGATTTTGTGCTTCAGGAAGCTAGTAACCCAAGCGTGAGGGGGCCCATAGAGGTTTCTGAGGCTCATGGAGGTCAGAACCGGCGGAACACCTTCAATTAAGGGGGGGGGGCACTGCCGACTTTTGGTCCCATTCTTTCCATGCAACGCCCATAGGGCTAATGTTAAAATGCCAAAATCAAAGGGGGGCACGGTGCCCTCCCCGTTCCGCCGCCTATGATGGAGGTCCCGCAGTACGATATGTCAGCCTCTGAGAAAGCCATGCAGGGCCCTGCCAAGCCGACATCTGAAAATCTTCTCCTCAGGCCTGTGCCTGCCTGACCGCCCGGCCCCACCCCGACGTCTAGGGGTTTGACGCCTAGGTATTTATCAGGACCCCACACCGGTCCATGATGGCTCTAAACTGACACCTGAGGCTCCTGCACCGGCTTTTGAGATGCCCACCGACCTCTAATACCACCACGCAGGCCTCAAAAGACCATGTCGATTGTCGATATCTAAACCCCGAAGTCTTGGAAGGCCTGTGCTCTATGCAGGTTCTTGAGGGCTTTACGTGGGCTTGTAAATATAATATCCCAAACTGGCTCTAGCCTAGCTCGACCGCGCCCCGCAGAGCAGGGCCCCAGGCCTTCCAGTTTTACGCCCCTGAGGGGTATTTGAATATTCCCTTCTAACCTGACTCCAGGGTCACGTAGCGACAAGTGCGGCGGTAGGCGGCTTTCTAAAGAGCGTCGAAAATCATGGAGAAATTACTTCAGTCATATTGCAGTTCAGACCAAAGCACACGTCATCATGTTCATCGAAAGAAAAGTTTCGCCTATTTCGACACTCGAGGACATAAAAGCTATAGCGCGCTGAAAGTGGGTTCGATAGCTCTCTAACTCGTGCAATCAGCCATGGGGGGGGGGGCGTATCGGCCAAACCCGATCATAATTTAAGACGGCTAGAAAGACGAGAAAAGCAACGGATAGCTACAGGGTGTCCCGAAAGTTTTGCAACATCCGTTTTCCCATATGTTTTGTCTCTACCGCTAATATCAACGTTCCACTGGCAACCTTCCGCTTGTCCCGGGTAGACGGCGCGACTGCCCACCCGACCCAGCGGCGGTTATTGCCGCGGGGCACGGCTGACCCGTCTGGGGCGGCCGCCGTCTGACCTTAGGTCAGTCGCAGACATGAAGGTGACCGGACGGGTAACGCGCAGAGAGGCGGTGCGCTCCCGCGCGATCGGGTTGCTGGAAGGTGGCGTGGCGCAGGGGGTTGTCGCAGAGAAGCTGGGCGTCGATCGGACCACTGTCTACCGGTGGTGGAAACGTTTTCGCGACGGCAAACCGTTAGCCGACAAGAAACGTTCAGGCCGGCCGCGTGCCGTGTCCAACGTCGCCAGAATCGTCTGTGCCAAAGCTGCTGGCAAGCGTGGCCAAAGCGTCAGGAAATTGGCCACGCGGCTGACGCGAAAGGGTTACCCGGTGTCAAAGTCGGGTGTCCATCGGTTCATGACCCAGTTGAAGCATTTCCGGTCGTACAAAAGATCAAAACAGCCGAAAATGACAAGAAAACAAAAGCTTGCAAGATTGGAATTTTGCAAGAGGGTAAAAAATTGGGGCTTCGATGAGTTCAAGAACGTCATCTGGTCCGACGAGTCCATCTTCGAAATCCAGCACACGCCAAATCGGCAAAACGATCGAGTCTGGGCGAAATCTCGCGACGAAGTGCCCCCGGTTGAAACCATCAAGCACCCCGCGAAACTCATGGTGTGGGGCGGAATGACCGCACAGGGCCTGACTGAACTTCACGTGGTGCCAAAAAACCAGACTGTCAACACCGCTTACTACGTGTCCGAGATTCTGGAGGGCTCACTTCTGCCGGCGGTCAACCGTAAGAGCAGCAATGGCGGTGTCACGGAGAAGAAAATCGTCGACCGGAGGTCAGCAGGAATTTTTATGCAAGATGGCGCACCAGCACACACCGCCAAGCGGACACAAGAATGATGTGCGGAACACCTCCCAGAACTTTGGGGTAAAGGGGAGTGGCCTGGCAACTCCCCCGACCTAAACCCGATAGAGAATGTGTGGGCAATCATGAAGGAGAGCCTCGACCAGCAGGAGCCCGCCACCAACCTGGGTCAGCTCGAGCGCCGGCTGAAGAAGGCCTGGAGAGACATCTCCGCGGACACACTGCGCCGCCTGGTGGCCAGCATGCCATCACGTGTCCAGAAGTGTGCCCGGCTTCGCGGTGACTATGTTGGTTGTTAAATAAAGCGGAAAGGACAACTCTGAAGTGTTTAACCCGCGCCCTGGTGGGGTCTGTTTATAACGCGACCTGGTGGGGGGGGGGGCTATTTTTTGCCCCCCCTCGTATCTCCGAAACTACTGGACGGATCCGCAAAATTCAAACAGCGTTCGAAAGGCCTGTCAAATTTGTCGAGGGAAACCAAATTTCATTGACCTCCGGGTCACCGATGACGTCACAGGTCAGGTCAAAGATGAAATGTTTCACCGTTCACGGGTCATCTAGGGAATGCGCTATAACACCGAAGAAAACGCATTTTGTCGAGAATCAGCGATAGGGCGTCAGTTGCCTAGTACATATATTGCTATAAGAGGTCACTGACATTACCAGGTCACAGGTCAGGTCACCAAGGGTCACAGGTCAGGTCACATGAACCTAACTTTAGGTACTAAGGTTGTGCGATGCATGTTTTATGGCCAATTTTTCATTTCCAACTCAATGGTGTTGGTTATAAGACTATCAGGTACGGCTTAGGCCACTTTCTGGTGGAGGTCAGGTCAAGGTCAGGTCAAAAAAGGTCAAATTTCAAAGTTGATATTTTTGCATAAAATGGGTATTGATTCGATGCAGCTCGTCACGGGGAGTCTAATGGTGGTCTTTGTTTTGCGCTACGAGGTCTAGAATTGCAAAAAAATTGAGTTTGAAAATTTGACGTCATCAATTTTGAACAGTTTTTTCGCTGTAACTTGGCCAAAAAAAGAGGTATCGATCTCAAATTTGGTATGTAGATAGAAGGCGGTAAGTACTATCACATATATTCCGGTTTTTCGAAATTCAAAAAACTTTTTGGATTTTTCGGCTATTATAATCAAAAAATCTATTTTTTGATTTTTGGGGGTCAAAATCCAAAAATTTCAAAAATCCGAGATAGTAGTTTTGTAGCCCTGTCGATTCTACAGCTTTTATGTCTTTATCGTTTTTCTGTATTTGCAAAGCTATAGGCCTGACAGCTCTTCCCGCGAAACCCTTTTTTGGGTCGAAAACGGCAGAACATGACGTCACTCTGACGTCATTTCCGGCCAACCTATCATAGCCTTTGGAAAAATGTTTGGTCACAATGTGTAAAATTGATGTCCGGGAGGGTACTGAAAGTTTGGTGACGATCGGCGCAGCGGTTCTGGAGATATATCGAAAAGTCTGGAGGGGGGGCAAAAAATAGCCCCCCCCCCCCACCAGGGCTCGGGTTAATTTACAACGTTAAGGATGTTGCAAAACTTTCGGGACACCCTGTATAGGATGCTTCAGAATCGTAGAGGTTATTTTTCGATTAGGTCATCGCTGAGGTCATTGAAGATGAAATTATGGTAAAGTTATGATAAACACAAAGACAAGATTACGACAAAAAATTCTTGTTTTTATATTTTTCACAAATAACCGTATAACTCGTGAACCAAAGAGCTAGAGCTTTGCGGAACAACTCATTCGATAGGCCTTTCAAAACGCTTTCGTTTTTAAGATTTGACCTCAATGCCTCATATCAATGGCTTGGCAACAGAGCAGAGGGTAAAACCGGCAAAACAATCTAAATAGTCGCATTTTACCAAAACAGTTTTGCTAAGAATTTTTGCAAGGACTTTGGTGAGAAAAACTATGAGACATTTACTTTGTCATCATTCTCTTGTTAACATGCATCGAATGAGCTACCTATAATTTCACATAAAAAGTTCAACTTCAAAATGTGACCGCAGATCAAGGTCATGCCCTTACTTGAGAAGTTCATGATGGTCATCAACCGATCCGTAATGGATGATTAACACCTTCAAGACAATGTCATAACTCTACCTCGTCTCCTATATCAAAAGTAACAGTCGAAAAACTGACGTTGAGCTTTTTTAAAAGCCTTTTGACCTAGCCCGACCCTTTGAGTGGCCGCTGGCCATCAATTGCACGCTGTCCATCAAATATGGGCAGAATGGTCGTGTTTCTGTAAATATGCTGTTGTTTTTTTTACGTGCCTCTTCAGATCAAGAGATATTTGTCCTTTTCCCCGATTTGACTGGTAATGATGACAATGATCTGACCTTTCGTTGTTGGTAAGGGGCCCCCATTTGGTTGAGGGGGGCCCACTTTGCTGGGGGGCCCATCGCGAACGTCTCTCACCCCCGTCGCCAGAGTTCTGGCTGCGCCACTGGTGCCACGTGCAAAACGAAGAGGTGTCAGTTTTGTAATTGTTGCAATATCTCGGTAACTACTTGGCCGATTGCGCTGAAAGTTGGCATGTAGGTAGGCACCCACTAGGCACTGCATATACATGTGCCAGAGTTGGGGTGCTGCTGCACGTGCGCACGTGCAGGGGTCGTTTCCAGATCTCGGGAACGGCTGGACCGATTGCGCTCAAATTTGGTACACGGTTAGGGACCGGTTAGTAGGGTGCCGTGCACAAGTCAGTTGGGACCCATTTTGCACGTGCGCACGTGCAGGGTGCCGCTTCCAGATCTCGAGAACGGCTGGGCCGATTGTGCCCAAATCTGGCACATCGCTAGAGACCAGTTAGTAGGGTGCCGTGCACAAGTCAGTTGGAGGTACCCCCTCGCAATTTCGCACGTGCAAGGCCCACCCTCTCGCTCGCTCCGTTAGTCGCCCCAAAAGGCGTTATACTGGTATATTTTTCAAATAACTATTGATATTTTTGCATAAAATGGGTATCGAATCGATGTAACTCGTCACGGCAAGTCTAATGGTGGTGTTTGTTTTGCGCTACGTGGTCTAGAATTGCTAAAAATTGAGTTTGAAATTTTGACGTCATCAATTTTGAACAGTTTTTTTTTCGCTATAACTTGGCCAAAAAGAGTTATCGATCTAAATTTGGTATCTGAATAGAAATCGGTAGGAACTATAGCATATATTCCGTTTTCCAAAAATCGAAAAACTTGTTGGATTTGTCGGCGATTATATTCAAAAAAGATTTTTTTGGCTGTCAAAATTCAGAAAATTAATAAGTCGATATAGCAGTTTGGTAGCCCTAATAATTCTACACCTTTTATGTCTTGAACGTTTGTCTGTATCTTCAAAGCTATAGGCCTGACAGCTTTTCCCCAGAAACCATTTTTTTGGGCCGAAAACGGCAGAACATGACATCACTCTGACGTCATTTGTGGACAACCTATCATAGCCTTTGGAAAGATTTTTGGTCACAAAGTGTAAAATTGATGCCCGGGAGGGTACTAAAAGTTTGGTGACGATCGGCGCAGCGGTTCTGGAGAAATATCGAAAAGTCTGGAGGGAGGGGGCAAAAAATAGCCCCCCCCCCCCCCCACCCACCAGGGCGCGGGTTAAGTCTCAAGATCGATGTCAGTTTTCAGGTCAAGGGTTATCCCGCCTCCGGATGGGCCTCTCAGTCAACTTCGCCCTGGTGGGTCGGGGGGGGGGGTCTGTCTAGCCACACCAGATTATCTCGGAAAGTGGGCAAGCTAGGAAGACGCTGTAAAAAGCAATAGATAGCTCGCTACAAGAACTTTCAGAATAACTTTGCGGTAATCTTTTGATCGGGTCACCGGTTCGGTCACTAGCCCTCGCCCGCACATGGGGGGGGTGGTTGCCACCCCCCCCCCCCAGGCAGTCTTTCTGCTGTGCACTCAACATTTTTAGAGCTAGAAGGCTGATTTTTCGTATAGCTGCTTGTCTATCCTTTCTTGATGTCCACTGAAAATTTCAAGTTTCTGTGATTTTTGGTTTCGGAGATACGAGGGGGTATCGAAAAGTTCTGATCATCACATAGAAGGTATAGACCGATTTTGATGATTTTTGGTTGGTATTATATTTGGTTCTTAAGAACAATGCTCCCGCAAAGAGAATCCTGAGAAGTGGTTTTATCTTATGTAGGAGAGACTTAGAAGTAAAAAAGATGAGTATTGGGCCCATTGAGGACCGAACCATCATACAACTAATGCATTTGAAACGGTATCACACTGAGAAAATACATCAAGAACGTGAAATTAGTTTATGGCGAGGATAGCCCATCTCATGCACTTACCGAAAATGAAGAAATAATTTTCAACTTGGTTGCATGACCCTTGCAGGGGAGTCAAGAAGTGAGTGACTACCAGTGACTGACAAGGTGACGACTGTGAAGGAAGTGGGGGACCCCATCCTTACAGATCGTCGTGTGACCTTTCAGATGATTGTGCAACAGAAAGGTCTCAATGCTGGCAGTGCCTGAAAATATTATCAGCAAAGTACTACAGACGATAAAGGAGTCAGCCCGCTTAGAAGTTCGTGTGTCTACTTTGTTCAAGAGAAAAATGCGTCTTGGCCTTTCGAAATGAAAACTAGTCCTTTTTTAGGAAATTGAAGACATCTTCGATCATTTGATGACTTGTGACGAATGCTGGGTCTATGTGTATGATCCAGAGACAAAAAGATGACCAAGAAGTATAAGCAAGGCACATCTGTCCTTCTTAAAAGGCGAAGATGCAGAAACCGATATGGAAGGTCAATGCTATCAGTGCTCTGGATCTGTCGTAGGATAGTCATCACCGACTGTCTTGATGATGGTCGGATAATGATAAGCAAGCAATGCTGCACACTTTTGAAGAGGTTTCGAGATGGCCTCAAGCAGAATCGCCGTAAAAAAAGCCCAAGAAAGATGTTTTATCCGCACCGACAGCGCCCCCGCCCATTCGTCCTGAGCTGCAATTGAAGAAACAACATGATGAGGACATTAAATCTTACCGCATCTAAGAAATTCACCTGACCGGGT